GAATAAAACTTAACAACTGACAATTACAGAAAAAAACACACCATAATATCATAAAAAGACACATAAAAATCCTTTTTATAAAGAAATTCACGTTCAACGTTATAAAGAATGATTCACAAATTACAAAATGTTAATGTTAAATGAAATACATATCAAAAATATATTATACATAAATCAATGACTCACAGTCTATGAATATATTTCTTTAAAACTTTATTGCTTTTGTTACTTCCTTTTGGAACCAACCGTTAGTCATTGCATTGAATAAAAGTTCTCTTAAAGATGATCCTGAAATAATAATAAAATTTAATATTATCTTTAACTTGTTCAGAGTAAAACAGATGATGTCGGTTGTTCCATTTTCGGGTTTGAATTTTGAAAAAAAAGAAGACAAAAACATATTCTAAGAAAGCGCCAACTGCGCAAAACAATACTCATCATTTTTGTAACTCTTGATAATTTTTATTCAACAAAAAAGTATGATGTTTAAAAATTGACTCTTATAAAGAATAAAAGGTTGTTACAGACATTGTTGAGCACTGTGAATTCCTTAAAGATTGACTGTTTAAGACTTATAGAAAAATCTATTTCTTTTGAAACACAAAACATATTAAAATACATTACTAAAATTGTGTCTGTCAAAACTTTTAAATGTACCTTGTAAATATTGTCAAAGTATTGCTCTATAATTTGCAAGGCTTTCAGGCAATCTTTCTTACAAGACACAATAATTAATCTCGCTCGTTATAATTTACGTTTTATATAAATCATGCTCTTCATTTGAATAAGGTTATATCAAAACAATTTCTACTATTAATCATTATCATTACTTTAGTAGTAGTAGTAGATCTAGTCGTCGTCGTTGTTGTTGCTCTTTAAAAATCATTGCATTGAAAAATGTTCTCTTAAAGATGATCCTGAAAATATATAATCATAAAATTTAATATTACCTATAACTTGTTCAGAGTAAAATAGATGATGTCGGCTGTTCCATTTTCGGGTTTGAATTTTGAAAAAAAGAAGACAAAAACATACTGCGCAAAACAATACTCATCATTTTTGTAACTCTTGCTAATTTTTATTCAACAAAAACGTATGATGTTTGAAAATATGATAAACTGTAAATATTTTGATATATTATATTATATCAAATAAACCCGTTGTGTCTGTGATATCTAAGAATTTGTTATTTTGAACATGTTGTAAACAGTTTTGCTTTAAAGTATAATAAAAACACATGAAAAGACGATCCAAGCAGAAATATGCTAACATTTATAAACAATATGCTATTTATAAAAGAAGGAAACATTAAGGCTTAAACCAGACATATAATAACCTAATGATGACTCCAGAAAGTAAAACAGACGCCATTTATGAGGACATTAATAAAGTTTTGATGTACTTAAATGTTTCTATAACAAACTTTAATTATGTTCTTTCTCGATATAAGAGCGGTAAATTTTAAACAATTTATCATTTAAATCAAACGTACAAAAAAAACAACATTTAAACGACAGCCAAGTTCTGATATTAAATTTATATTTGCAAATACTTGTTCTGCACATTACTGATTTCTGAAAAACAAAAAATCACATAATTGCAAATTAAATGCCGGAGAAGATCATTAATCCTCCACAAGTGATCTTTTAATTAAGCCGTAAAAGAATTAATTTTATGATAGTAGCAAACTATAACATTTTTTGTTTATTTATATCTTGACATTTGAATTCATACGCATCTAATAACGCATATTAATTATAATGCAAAGTTTATTGTGTTGGATCAAAACCTTATCACTATGCTTATATTAATTGTAAAAATACAGGGTTAACAAGCGTTAAATTCAATTAATTAACTAGCTCATAATGGACAATTTATTTATAAAGTCTATTAATATATAATATTTTAAAAGTACATCTTCAGAAAAAAAACCTTTTGATTAATAATCAAGTGTCCATTACTTAATATAGTCTACAAAGTAATTAAAAATCTAAATTTACATTTATTGGCTTAAATAGCCTTCCAAACCAATGAACAAAATATGTAATTTGGAATGCGAAGGAAAATGCATAAATATATTAACTGTTGTCAAAACGTAAATTGTATGAAAATTACTTCATAAACAAGTTTGATAGTTTTCGAACATACGTTGAACGATTTTATTGGTTGAAAATGCAGAGTCTTTGAATTTAAGAACTTTATTCTAATGAAATTTAGAGTTACCTTCTTCATTTTTATCTCAGAGCATATTAGATGTATCTTTTACACACATTTAAGTTCACGTTAGTAAAAGTGTGATATAATCTAATATTTCTAGTCAAAGGGAGATAAGGTGTTAGTGAAATTGTGATATATTCAATCAGGGATGTTATATTTCCTGTCCTTAAAGACACTATTGTTGTGCTTGTGGTATTTTAGTTCTATCCATTCGGCATCTTTCTTTTTGGGTGGTTCCAGTATTCCTCACTTGAATACTTTTGAATCACCCTTAGGATATGAGGCCTGCTTTTAAAATTTGTGTTTTGACGTTATACATGTGATATGCAGGCTTCATAACCTCAGATCCCCTTTCAAAATTCCATTTTATTTAGTTCCGCCCATTGTTTGCTCGTTTAGGGCATACGCATGTTTTTACTTGGGGAATATATGCCGCTTTTCATGGAATGGCACTAACGTGTCACATTGAAGGTTCCATGATAACCGCCATATGAACACATCTGCGGATGTTTCAAAATTCTAAATTCTACCAGTTCATGTTAAATGTTGAATTCTGCTTAAGCCGGTGCTAGGGGGCGTGGACGGTAGTTTGCACTTGACTGTATCGTCCTTGAACAATCAAACCGAGCCTGCAACATTTCCAATTTTGCCGCGTTGGGCTTACTTTAGGGATTCTTATTTCATTCTATTGTGATATAATCTAATATTTCTAGTCAAAGGTAGATAATAAGACATGAACTTCACAAAATTAAAGGTTTCTTGTTTTAATTGTACAATATAGTATGTAAACTCTAATGTTTGTTTGGTGGTAAATAATGAGAAATTTTCGTGGAAACTATTAGAATTATGTCAAAGTTATGTTGAAAGATAGGCAGTCTTTACATAAATCATATAAACTCACATACATGGTGCGAGTATTTGCGAGTTTGTGATTGGACGGTAACTGGCACTTTCTAGTACCGTGTTGGGCTGTCTATGGAAATCTTGTTTTTCTTCATTTTATTTTTTAATTCCGAACATATATATTGAATAACTGCCACTTTTTATGATACAAAAGGGGAGGGCAATCGATAATGTTGTTATAACTTATAGCTTAATCCCTATGTATATTATTATTAAAATAGCAGTCCCTCACAAAACGGACAATTATTCAATACGCATATAAGTATATAAGTTAGTTTTGTAGTTTGCACGAGATAACTGTGACCTAACGGTTGTCATGTGTCACTTGACAAAGATACAAACACCCCTTTTATCACGCCCGTTAAGGCCTCAAGAGACGGTAGGATTTTGAAGTACAACACAAATTAAAAATAAGATGAACAAGCAAATCTTAATGTGTGAAGGCTACTATTTCTTGAATTTGTAAACCTTAAGTCAAGATGTAAGGGATAGAACATGTTCTATTTTTAAAATCTTGTCAAACAGATTTCTACAGACTTCCCACAATGACAAGTAACAGATTACCAAATTATCTCCTGATAATGGGTGTAATGAATGAAATTCCAGAACAATTAGGGCTAAAAGGTAATCATAGTAGAAAAATGAGGTAAAAATGATGTTGATAAACTCTTCAGGAGACCCAAAGTTGTGGTATGTTCGAATCCCAAATTGTTCCGAAAATGGTTATGTCTCGGTATTGAACTTTTCTCTAATCAGGGGAGTTAGTTTGTAGGCGGCCAGATAGCTCAGTCAGTACAACCGCAGTACGGTATTCCGAGGTTCCCAGGTTTGAGTCTCGGTCAGGCTGCACATTACAAAAACAAAATTAACAATTTAAAAAAAATTGGAGGTGTTTTAATCATTACTCATGGAAAAAAATATTTAGTGAGTAAAGTATGTAAGAAATCAATTGGGAGAGAACTTTTTTTTTTAGGGAAACCTGAGATGATTCCTACAATTTAGAATAACGGTCTGAATGCAAGTGCTGTATTGCTTAGTGAAATTGTACCTCTTATCTCTAATTAGTGTTGTAGTGTTGAGGGATGTTGCACGTATTCATTATCCCTCATGTACAGACTCAATCAAACCGAGTCTGCAATTCTCTTGCAATTTTGTTGTGATTAATGCTTCTGAGGGATCACTTTGTTTCCAGAGTTTTGTACAACTAAATCCTATCGTCTGTTGAGGCCTTTAGCATGTAGCGAGTATGACAGCTTGATGCAGTAAGAACTTACTATATAAATTTTAGTTCTAAACCGGACTTTCGAGATATGTTCCTCTCTTTTTACCTCTTCTCATAGACATATGATATATAAAGCAGCAATCGATTGCAGAATAATAAACAACAAACACACAACTGTTCTACGCGCAACCATTGAATCTACGCACAAACAGTTAACGGGTGTGTTAATTATTTTAGTCAATATTTACAAAATAAAACGTTTCAACAGTTCAAAAATTTCAGCATAAATATTGCAGAAAACTTAACTAAGATGTTTTGTTATCGTACAAGACATATATAAATCAACTAGTTCCACATAAATGTACAAGCCTATGGTTCAATTATATCTTTTAATAGCATTTTATCTAAAAAGAAACACCCAAACTACAATGTGTTGGATTGAAGCTTTAAAGTTTTTATGTATAATTGTGTGTTATTGTGAAATGTTATGTAATTATTTACTATGTCTATCTTATACAATAAAATATGTTTAAACTAACAATCTGGATATCATTCAACTGAAACATTTTATCATTAACAAACGCAGTAACCTACTTATTTCAAATGTTAATTGTAAATGACCGGAATGACTTTTTATTATCTCATTCTGTTACTGATTAGGAAACATTGTACATTAAACGGCTCTTATCAAAGACGCATTAAAATTGAATGACATTGTACCAGAAATTACGAAGCGATGCAGATCTCTTTCGGTAAATAAATGATATTTATTAATATTATGTTAAGAAATATGAAGTTGTCTTATTTACGTACTTTTGATTCTGTCTTATATACTTTTATTTGCTATTTTAATTGTAACATCATTTAATTTTTTTTTTCAGTAATCTGCATCATTCTTTTTGGTGTTATTTCGACATCTGGTAAGTTCCATATTTTGGCCCAAATATATTATAGAATATTACGCCAGATTTGAAGATGTTATCAGTTAATTCTTAGCTATATTGCTTAACAATTATTCAATATTCATTGACGCTACTGTTGAAATGATACTTTTGATGTATACATCAAAAGAATTGTTATAAATGAAAGTGTAAGCTGCCAAGAACTAACAGAAATTCAAAACAATACAAAATCAAGAAAAGATGTTTTGTCGATACAAATTTCTAATATGTTGAATATTTCTCTTAAACTTGTGGTCGATTTCTTTTATGTAATTATACACTTATTTCCATTTAGCGGAAACTGAGTGTTTTGCCTGTAGCAGTGTCCATACAGTTGCTGAATGTAAGACTACAAAAACGTGCAACGCTGATGAGGTAGATTTGTGAAAGACATTAAATTAAATGCTCTGTTATATACATGTTGTAAATTTAAAAATTGTAATGTCATTGCCTTTATCCCAGCAATAAAACAATTGATTCTATTGTTCCATGTACTAATACTTGCTAATCGACAGTACTTTCTATATTAGACTAAATTCCGTTGCTATTTACCGCTTCATTTATTTAAGATATGCTTTACTGACTTCCTACCACAAGGAAACAGGACACTGTATTCATTCGGATGTCGATCTGAGACAGTAAGTGGACTTTACAATTTTCATATGTGTACATATTTCAAACTTTCAGACTTAATTTATATGCCCCCTGCTACAATAAATAAAAATGTTCTGGCTGATGTTATTTTTAATAATAAGGTTGAATACCTTAGATTTCACAAACAAAATCATGATATCTTGATATCAAACAGTGAAGTTTAATTTATTTCTTGAATCAAATTATCGGGTATTTCTGATTAATTCGTGTATTGAAATTTTAGTTTTTCACTTGAATGTATATTTCAGAACTGTACATCAGTTGTTTCAAATACAGGAAATATGACAAATGGAGCGTCACTTGTAGGGCGTTCTTTGACTGCGTCACCATGTTCCCAGTGCTGCAAAGAGCATCATTGTAATAGACATATATGCCAACAAACATGTGAGTTATCGTGATCCAAATAATAGTTGAAAAGGACAAATTATAAGTGTAACACTTTCTTTGTCCGTTGTTGCCATCACGACCCTACATTTTGTTGTCAATATTGTTTGTTTTAATGGGATTTACGTCGTACATGGTATAAGTCATATGGCGATTTTCAGCTTTACTGGTTGAGTAAGTGTATCTCTGTGCGTTACTTCAGGCACTAACAGGCACCTGATTAGAACCAACTACGTTCCGTAAGCTATTTAGATAGCTTTCTCACATGAAATAATCCATAGACTCTTGTGCGGCTCGAACCTACAGCGATGAAAGACAAGAGCTTTGAAGGCAACGACCTTAATTGCATGGGCACGGACCTACCCCTTTGTCAAAAAAATGAATTTTCACAATTCACTACATATACGAGTACGATGTTAGGCTAAATCATATTAAGTATTTCGCAGAAATGTATTCAAACATAAAATTAATTAAAATATATATCAGTCACTATAATTTTACAATATGTCAAGGGAAAAAATGTAACGAGATATCCAATCGACATGTCATTTATAGGTTGTAATAATATATTATTGTTCGATTGTAATTTCAAGATTCGCTAAAAGAGTGTTCAGATAGAGAAAAGGTAGGCTGTGCCACCCTTGAACAATTTGCAAATATATGTGCAGATACACAGCGAGCTTTATCAGTTTGTCGGCGATTTTGTGGATTATGTAGCTACGGTATGGTTTGTTTGGTCAAATTAATTTTTCTTAAATTCCACAAATAAAACACGACAATTACAAAATAACATATGTTTTATTATTCGTATGTTTCCTTTTCCATAAAATAAAATGTCTAATTTTTATGAACACTTCAACTTTATAATTCTAAAACAATTCAAGGAGGTTTTTTAAAATCTACACAATTAGAAATTGAACAAAATTGCCGGAACATTTGACTTGAAATAACTGATAATTCTGTAACTTTATTGAGTCATTATTTCATATCCTACAATTTGTAAAGAAACACCGCCATCTTTGAATAAAAAATAAATACTTTGGTGTATTATTCTTTTTGTTGGAAATGACTGAAAACCCGATATATGTATTAACACGCTCAACAATTTTCCGTTCCAGTTGGTAAATGTTTCTAGCAGAACTGTTTGGTTAAGCAAAAGTTATAGCAAACTTGCAACTCCAAGAGGGCTAGATTGTTTTGAAGTTTTGTGGATACAACGCAGTTCATTTTTCTTTATCCATTGGTTTTGCATTCAAATCAACATAATATTCGTTTCAGAGTTTACCATAAGCTTCAATATAATTCTGCATCATTTACTACAATTTCTGTAAAACAGATGTTTATTTTCTAAGAAAATATTGATTTGTACGAAATGACGCAGTTGAAAATAAAATATGATAGGGCGCAGTTATGATTCCCAGTCCTGTATTTCAACAGTTGATGGTCAGTGGGCATCATGGCTATCCTGGTCCAGGTGTGACGTAACCTGTGGAGACGGGAACCAGTCGCGTAAAAGAACGTGTACAGAGCCAGCCCCTGCAGGAGGGGGTCATAATTGTCAAGGACACTCTGACGAAACTCAAATGTGCACTCTTCAGCCATGCCCAGGTTGAATTAGTTACACACCAAAAATTGTTAATATAATTATCTTATAACTCTTAATAATTTAAATATCATACAGTAATTACAGGAAATATTGTTATATTATTTATAAAATCATTTCGACACATACACACATCTATTTAATCTAAAACATCTCACGAAAATGTACATTAATTTGGATAAATGGTACAATTGACCCCCATGCTTTGCTTCGATTAACATGACAATTGTACTTAAAATGTTGTGGTTTGAAAACCCCAACAGTTGTTCTCGCTTGTAAAGACAGTTTTCCGCTTAACATAACCACAGGCAGTGCTCTGATAGGCTTCATAACCTCTGATCGCCTTTCAAAATTCCAGTTCCACCCATTGTATATTCGTTTAGGGCAAACAAATGTTTTTACTTGAGGACCATTTGCCGCTTTTCATTGATTGGCACTAACTTGTCACATTTAAGGTTCCATGATAACCGCCATATGAACACATATGCGGATGTTTCAAAATTCCAATTCATGTCAAATGTTGAATACTGCTTAAGCCGGTGCTAGGGGACGTGGACGGTAACTTGCACATTCCAGTACCGTCCATGAACAGGCTTAATCAAACCGAGCCTGCAACATTTTTAATTTTGTCGTTTTGTGCGTTCTTTAAGGATTCTTTATTTCCCCTTATTGTATGAAAACATTGTGCGTACTCTTACAGTGTGGTCACTCATTAAAGGCTCAACCAAACAACGCTCGGTTAACCCAAATGCCCGTTTTTCTCACCCAAAACTAATACTTTTGATTATTTTATTAACGATTAAAATGTATTAAAATTTTCTTTTTCTTCAAAAACCAATTAAATGTTGGGTAATATTCAATGAAGTTTTAGAATAGGGTTATAGCAACATATTTACGTAAAATATTATGCTTTGTATCTTAAGTACATGGTCACTGGTCAACATGGAGTAGCTGGGGCAGCTGCAGTACAACATGCGGTATAGGAATGCAACGTAGAGACCGAACATGTTCAAATCCCTACCCTGCACGTTTTGGAGACCATTGCTATGGCGATTCCAGAGATGATAGATTATGTGTTGATGCAATTTGTCCAGGTAAAATATTAACGCCTTATGATTGCATGAAAGATTACAGTATCAAAATAATCCATTTCAGCGTCTTTCAAATAAGACACAAGAGGCTTTTTATGTCGCTCATCTGACCAAATATGCAACTCATTCTCAGTAGAGTGCAAACATATATATACATGTATGTCGAAAAGTATTTTCCAAAATTTCATTGGCTTTATGTCATAGTTTAATCCTAAAAGCATCAATAATCTCACTTGATTTTGACTTTTTATAAACGTGCTCCTTGCGTTTCCATTACTTTTATCCATGTTGGAAATTATATCTGATTTTAATGTGCCAGATAAGCCATGTGCTTTAAAAGAAGGTCAATTTGCGCATTTTATGAATGAACTGCTTTTACGTATTTTTGGCACATTTAAGAATGAAATTGCGTGCCTAGGATGACTTCATTTCGCTGTTATGAACGCAGTTGTAAATACAAATGTACATACGCTACTGGAATGAAACAATAACAGATAAAACGATTTTCAAAACTAGATTAATAAAGGGAAAAATACAATATGTTAGAATATGCAAAAAATATACATGGCATGTATGTGTGGATTTAATTTGAAAACTCCACCCCTCTGTACCCGCTTGTGTAAGACTTAAATAAGACTGCATTTTCAACAAATATTGATGGAGACCCACTTATCAAGCAAAAGACGACTACAGCGTTCACAACTTTTTCTGTTATTTAACCTAATGCCCTTATACACTGAACAAAAGTTCTAACCGATCACCCTGAGTTTTCGCTTATATATGAAAAAGAATAATACCAATAGATCCGACTTTTATTTTATTTCGAAGAGAATGAACACATTGAGAATAATAAAATATAACATTTTTCTATTTAAATAAAACTTTATCGATATTTAAATTTTTTTTTTTATGAACAGCCACTCACCTGTCTGATAGAGGCTCCAGCATTCAACATTTCAACTGCTACGGCATGATCCTGCATCAACATTCGTGCCATGTGTTATGTTTTTCACTTATAAAGTTAACAAGGATTTATGCAATGTAAAATTTAATACTCACCATGCTCTGTACGAACATTTCGTGCCAAAATGTGTAAACCGCGCCCTGTCTCCCGCGTGAGTGCATGGAACCGTATTAAATTATTTTTCATTCCACAAATCGGTTGAAAATGACACAAAAATCACTTCTGCAAAATTTTATAAGGATCTATTGACCCGTTATAAAATAATCAAAATTTAAAAAGTGATCGGTTAGAACTTTTGTTAAGTGTAGTTGATTTCACATGACCTTTTTTAAACATGACCCTAAAATCATAAAGACACTGTGGAAGTTTCTTTTAAAACAATCAAGATTATTCAGAGACCAATACTCGAAGCTTTTAAGAATACCATTAAGAGAAAACATTCTGAAAACATTTAGTGACGATCTAATGAACACCTAGACATCTATGTATATTTTTACAACCCTATTGTAGACGTCGATATTTCCTAAAAAATTAAATAAAGCTTATCATTGAGTACCTCTAGCTCAGACGGGATGTCAAAAAGTACATGCATTTATTTTCAGACTCTAATTCAAATATTACATTATAGTTACCGACGGTGGTTGGAGCACGTGGACCTCCTGGACAGCATGTACAGCAAGTTGTGGAGGTGGGATAAAGTCTCACTATAGGGATTGTAACAGTCCTATGCCATCTGCAGGAGTGAAACCATGCTCGGGAGCTCCGTATGAAGTGGCATCGTGTAATCAGCAATCTTGCCCTCGTACGTTGCAATTGATTTGATTAATATAACATAACAGTAATAAGGTGGTTTGGAGAAACATACTTTAAGTGATACATATACTTTCATTCTTGAACGTTGTCAAAATCCAAAGCTGTTTGCACATTTTCAAATTTTCAAATCTAACCTTTAAGGTACCTTACATATTACTTTTTTTAAAACAATTCTAGATTGTTACTTTGACGATACTATCATTTTTCAGGCTTTTTAGCTCACCTGTCGCAAAGTGACATGGTGAGCTTTTGTGATCGATTTCGTCCGGCGTCTGTCCGTCAGTAAACTTTTACTTTAAACGACATCTCCTCATAAACGACTAAGCCATTTTCATCCAAACTTCACAGGAAAGTTCCTTTGGTAGTCAACATTAAAAATTGTCAAAAGAATTTAATTCCACGCGGAACTCTGGTTGCCATGGCAACCAAAAGAAAAAACTTAAAATATCTTCTTTTAGAAAACCGAAAAAGCTAGAGCTTTAATATTTGGCATGAAACAACATCTAGTCAGTGTCTACCAAGTTTGTTCAAATAAATGCCATGTGGTCAAAATTGGCCCTGCCCCCGGGGGTAAGTTGGTTTTTCTTATTTGTATATGGTAAAGACTTTAAAAATTCTCCTTTAAAAAGCTCAAATAGCTATAGCTTAGATATTGAGCATGAAACATTTTTAGTGGGTGTCTACCAAGTTTGTTCAAATAAAAGCCCTTGAGTAAAAATTGGCCCTACCGAAGAGGGTTATTGTTTTTCCCTTTATGTATATAATAAAAACTTAAAACATCTTCTTTTAAAAAAATCCTAAGAGCTAGAGGTAGGATAATTAGCATGAAACATCTTCTACTGGGTTTCTACTATTTTTGTTCAAATAAGGGCCCTGGGAAATAAAATTGGCCCCGCCCCAGGGGGTCATTGATTTTCCTTATATGTATATAGTAAAAACTTAAAAAATCTTCTTTTAAAAATCCTAAATAGGTAGAGCTACGATATTAAGCATGACACATCTTCTAGTGGGTGTCTACCATGTTTGTTCAAATAAAAGCCCTGGGGTCAAAATTGGCCCCGTTCTAGGGGTCATTGTTTTTCCCTTTATGTATATAGTAAAAACTTAAACAATCTTACTTTAAAAAACCCTAAGAGTTACAGCTAAGATATTTAGCATGGAACATTTTCTAGTGGGCGTCTACCATTTTTATTCAAATAATGGCCCTTGGGTTAAAATTGGCCCCGCCCCAGGGATCATTGATTTTTCTTATATGTATTTAGTAAAAACTTAAAAATCTTCTTTTAAAAAACGCAAAGAGCTAGAGTTTAGATATTAAGCATGAACTATCTTCTAGTGAGTGACTACTAAGTTTGTTCAAATAAAAGCCCTGGGAAAAAAATTGCCCCCCCCCCTAGAGGGGGTCATTGTTTTTCCCTTTATGTTTATAGTTAAAACTTTAAAAAAATCTTCTTACAGCTAGAGCTTAGATATTTGTCATTAAACATCTTCAAATGGGTGTCTTCCAAGTTTGTTCAAATAAATGTCCCTGGGTTAAAATTGGCACCGCCCCGGGGGCCTATATACAGGTGAGCGATTTCAGGGCAATCATGACCCTCTTGCTTACATATGCAACTATCAAAAATCAGATCTAGCCGGTAAATTAGATAAAAAAACATTAGAATGATATGAATTCAAAAAAAGATTTAAAACCATTTATGAAAATGATATACTTTATATCATTAACCGCAGTTGATAAGACACGTTGTCAAAATGTAACAAAACAGAAGGTTCTGGTTTCAATTTCCACTTATTTGTATCTGAATTTGAATTATTTAATTGTATCCTTTTTCAAGGTTAATCATGAATACTTTTCTTTTTTCTCAGATATTGAAAACAGGAGCCTCTTGTGAAATGTTCTTTCGAAAAGAATGTTTACTCCTTTTTTACATTTGTTGTTGAATTTCTTACAAAAACATATTTAAACGTTTCGCAACGCAGGGTGACTCTATTTCTAAACTCAAATTATTTCTTTATAGACACTGGTTATTTTCACTTTCGTATAAAGGTTTCATGAATGGGGGTCATTTATTCAAACCGGGGTCATATTATTTGTCTTGTGAGCATTTGGGTAGTTCTTAACACTGCAAAAAATAATCATAAAGGAAAAAAGAAAAAATGTTTTTGTTTTCTTTCGGGTCATGTTATTCTTTGGGTGTCACTTAACGTCAGTGCATTGTAAATCTAATAAATCTTGGATTTTAAAGGGAACAATAGAAATTTCACAAGCATCAGATTATGTCTTTTAATCATCTTAAACCTGACACCAATATGTACAAATATTCATAATTACAAATATTCATAATGGTATACGTATTCTTATCAATATATTTTTCAGGAAAGCTGTCGTCGTTTTTTTACTCTCATCCGGTCAATGTTGGAAGAAGGTATTGGTTTCCTGACTCAAAAGGATCGATAAAGTGTACTAATTCTTTGCTTTATTCTGGATGTGGTACCATCGCATTTAAAACTGAGGTTTTCGAAGAAGGGTCTTACTACGATAGTACTACTGGTGTCTTTACATGCAATTATCCGGGCGTCTATGTTTTCACACCCTCATTAATCAGTATTCCTCATGAAGGTATTGACTGTGATGTTTCGAAAAACGATCAATCAATAACGAAAATTGTTAAGGAATTTGGTAATTGGAAAGCATCAGTAAGTGTAACGGTGACCTTACATCTCCAGCGAGGCGACAAAGTGTCCTTGTTTTGTCAACATCTTGATGGCGATTTAGATTCAGCTTCCACCTTCAGTGGATTTCTTTTGCACTCTGACAGCTAAAAAAATACTTAATTAACTTTAGATTTATCATACACCTTATTGCAACTCCGATTCTCGTAATAAAACTAATAAGGATGAAATGAGTTGTTATAACTTATATATTGATGAATATATCGTTATCATATACAAAATACGTTTTGTTGATAAAAATCCAATTTTGCAACAAAACAAATATTTGTTTATATATATTTACAAACAAATCTTAGACATTCAATTTAAACAGTAACCAAACACATAAACTGGATCCCCAACTTTTTAAATAAAGATGCTCTAGAAATATAGATGCTAAACTAACGAACATTGTCATACATAATGTGAGAAAAAAACGATTAACTTACGTTTAAAGAAGATACCATTTAGGCACAAACAATAAAGGTGAAAAATAAAAATTTTCAAATGCATACCATTTAAAGTAACCAAAAAAACTAAAAAAAAGACAATAACAACTTTCAATTAAAGTTGATGTTCAAAATGAAAATAATCATGGAAATCCAGGCATAATTCTAAGCAAATATGATGTTTATGTATAGCATGATGGGTGATGATAAGGAAACAATAAGAAGATTCAATAAAATTTTAAGAAATTATATAAAACAAACAACTTTTGTTAGAGTGAACCTTATCACACATGATGTGTTTGATGATCACAAAAAATATATGCCAGGTTTAAAGTAAACACCTTTAAAATAAAAAATAACAATGAAAAAGATTTAACTGCATAAAATCTTTAATCAGAAATCTGGTCGCAGTTGCGGATGATTGGTGAGAAGAACAGCTATCAATATACTCCCTATAGTCAAGCTAAAAATGATTTGCATAATATCCATACTGACGTCTATCAATATTTCAGGTTACATAGAAATATTGTCAGTACTGTTGGAGTAATAATAAATATTGTTATATTTGTCATATTTTAAGCACATTTGTTAATAATAAAATGTTTCAACTTAGGAAGAAAAAAGACGTGCATGAAATCCAGATCTCCGTTTTTCAAATTTCATTAAAAAAAATCAGGATGTTTTGTGTTGTCACTGGATCCAAATTATGTGTTAAATTTGCCATATTTTCTGTCTATTTTTTTTTTTTTTTGCTATAGCAACCAAAGTTTACAAAATAGAAGAAAAGAAAAAGACATGCATAATTTCCAGACTGTCATCTATATATATTTCAAGTTTCATAAAAAATATTTTCAGTACTCTTTGCGTTATTATGGGATCAAGTTATGTTGACGGACAGACAGATGGCTGGAGGGAGGGAGGGTAAACTTAAAGACCACTCCTGGTACCGATAAGAGACTAATAGCATATGTTCCTTTTATAATTATAAATCAAATCTGTAAATGAATAAAGTAATGACAAATGTCAATCATTTGACCTAAAAGTTCAAGATAATATATAGAATAAATCAACATGATATATAAGTCATATTTGTTCTTTTTTCCACGTATTTATAAAATCCGTATAACATTAACCTTAGCAATTAATTCAATAACTTAATCTTAGTTCTCTAAGTTTGAAGTTGAAATATCAATTGGCATTGTATTAAAAACGTCCTTTGTAAAGAATGTCATGAATAAATATCAGAGTCCTCAGATCATCTCACGGATCAGATTTTAGTTTCTTAAGTTTTCTAGCTGCTCTACTACGTTTTGTACATAAGACTAGAAAGTTGATACAACCACTAAGTACAAAACAACCGCCTGCTGCCAAGAAACTTGATGTATAGCTTCCGGTAGCGTCAAACAACCAACCTATAATACAAAAATAAGCTCTGCGTCATACATGTATAGTTTTCTGTAAACAAAATACAAAAATAATATCAGGTAGCATTTTACAATCACACACTAGAATAAATATGCATAACAAAACTTCTGTGAACGACATTTTTGCAATATATAAATGTACATGGGGCATTTCATAAATTCATAAAACAGTCATAGTTTCCTGTACGTGTTTCAAAATTCTTATTTTTCTGTCAGTCTCTCAAAGTAGTTCTCCTTTGTAGAAAAATCCTGTTTTTACAACGTGTATCCGTTTCATAAAAACGTCGCAATAATCCTGAAGCGGATAATGTTGTGTATATTGCTAAGAAAATAGTTCTTGGTTTATAATGATGACCTACCAGCATTTCTTTAATCTTTGGAAACAATCAAAAGTCACAAGGAGCAAGGTTAGATCAATAAGTTTGATGCCACTTGACATTAAGATTGATTTCCTACAAGATGTTTGAGCGCGCGTATTGGTATGGAGTAGGTGAAGGTCACGTGTGTCTGTGCGTGGTACTTAAGTACTAACTAAAGTACTGAACCATAAGAAAACTAGTAGAATTCTTCCAGTGTATATCTGGAATCAGTATCAATCAATTCTTCCATCTCTTTTTCCGATGAAGCTAAGATTGAACGACCTGGTATTTCATAGACTTCAACTGACTTGCGCTCTTATCTAAATCAACGGACCCATTTTGCAACAATACCATATTGTAATACATTGTCTTCATAAATTTTTTGTTAACCTGCATGGATATTGGTTTCAGAATAGCACAGTATACCATTTGCTCTAACATAAAATCCGTCATGTTTTAACATGCTAAAATATGCAATAGCATAAGTAAAACTGATGCGTTTCAAGCACAAGAAAAGCTTGCGCATCCAGCAAAATGTCCTTCGGCACAGTAACAATTCTAACATATAGGTATACCACAACATTTGAAGTGTTACTTAAAGTTGTTAACGAATTTATGAAATACATCACGTACATACGCCTAGAAGCTCAAGCTACATTTGTAAGATTTTAACTGTTTATAATTGGTCATAGAGACTGCCAACAAAACTCGTTGTAACTTAAAATTAATACTGCAGAATAAATATCATTGATTGTAATCAATATACTTTCTTACAATATTTTTCTTGTAGTTGTTGAAACCAAACATGTTAAAACCAAATAGCACGTTAAAATCTTACAGTCAATCAAATGAAAACAACATTTACATGGAGCAATTTATGCATTAGTGGTAGGCCATAGAGAACATTTAACAGTTACACATTTGGATTCTGTAGTATGCCCGTGCATATTTCAAGTTCAGAGAGAGGGTGTTTATTCATTATTCATTTTTTATTCTAATTTAGTTGTTTTTTGTTTTTGTTCATCAAACCTGAATACAATACATTTGTGACTTTGTCTATTTACGCATAATGTACGTATTTAACAGTCACCTAGTTTAAAGATATCCTATGTTCATATTTGAGTAAATAACTTAAAAATTTATAATGCAGAAATTAAGTGGAATCTAGGAAACTCTTACTGAATAGGTGTAAATTTGAAAAAGAAACTTCACAAACTCTATTTGGGAGGCTGCATTTCTTATTACAGGTCATGATAATTTGATCCTTTCTTAAAACAAATGCCAGTTTTAATGACACTATGTTTTCATTCTGTGTTGTTTCCCTAAGGCGTGAATTTTTTTAAATGTATCAAAATTTTCAAATACCAAATTATAGAAAACAATATTTTGAACAGTATATCTGGTACTTTGTTCGTGAAGTTTGATTGTACTTTATATCGTCAAATGAAGTGTTCATTGTAATTAACATAAATGTATCTGTTGAAGGGCGATTGTGATACAAGGTATTGCAGTCACTTTCGAGTCCGCTTCCTGAAACAAACCAGTATTGGTGTTAAATGAGAATGTATGTCGTGACAAGAGTAACATCTTATCGCCTTAACCCTGGGTAGACAGACACAACATTTTTCACGAGGCTTACCCCCACCCCTATTGTTTTAATTAAACACACATACCAGCGGCGGCACTTCCAATTAATCCCGAAATACCGTACCTGTACACCCACATCGTCAACCCTTGCATTGTCGCCATATACTTTTCATCTATATACTCCAATATTACAATTGGCTGCACCGTGTACATAGCTCCTGGTGAAAATATAAAATTTCATAATAACCGATATTCTTATATTGTATTATTTTTAAAGATCTTTGTTACAAAATGCTAAGATATCTTAATTTACAGAGATAATTTTTTTTCCAGCAGCATAAAATACTATATGACCTATACATATAAAACCTAATGGAAGTATTATTGCTTGCATTCAAAAGAAATATTCAAAAGCGGTGTAAATTACGCACTGAAAGCATTCCATAAAGAACAGAATATGTAATGCGCGTCCCAAACATCGGGATTACAGCAACAAGCCTTGTAGTTACACGGACTGATAAAAGACAACCGCCTTAAAGACTCAGATTATGAACACATTTCATATCGGCTAGCCATCCTTCACCAGCTTGGCTAACTAATGCTGTAAATATGTGGACAGATATGATTAAAATATTCGAGAAGAAATTAATCCTATCAAGTTTGTAAGTTTGTTTGAAATTAGCATTTATATTTTAAGTTGTACTCAAAATCTAATGTAACTAGGCAACGGTTCAAAACAAGTCAAGACAATATGACTACAAATTAAAGAACATAAACAAAAAGCTTATATAAAGGAAATGAATCATTAAAAATATCTAGCAATCCATTAAAACTTCATGTAAGCATTTGTAAATCTTTCTCTCTACTGGAGCTAGTAAATGTTAATTGATTTTCCCCATCCGCTTTTGCATTTGATTAATATTTGCTTACACATACTATTGATGCACCAACCAAAACAGCATATGCTGTTATTGTTTAAGTGTTTCAGGGCATGCACTAATTAGTCATTGTCGCATGGTTACAATTTTGCTGCTTATATTTCTAGTCAAAGGGAGATGATAAGAACACACATAACAATCATGAATTTCCCCAGATTAAAGGTTTCTTGTTTTATTTGTACAATCTAGTATGTAAACTCTAATGTATGTTATGGGTAATACGCTGCTCAAGTTTGAATTTGATCATAGTTTGATGATTTCTGACAGAGTTATCGCCCTTGAACTATGGAAAAATAAGAATTTTTTAGTATCCGCTCATTATCTCCCCAACGGTTATACACTTTCACCTCACATTTTACATATAGATACATCTTAGGAAAAAGCAGGCAATGTTTGAATTTGGTCATGGTTCGAAGATTTTGGACAAAGTTATCTCTCTTGAACGTTTGAAAACAATTGAAATTTTCAGTTTCCGCACTCTTACTTTGTGGAAATGTATGTAGTCATTATCTCCGGACATATTATACACCTAATGATGATTCCAGAAACAGACGTCATTTATGAGGACATTAATAACGTTTTGATATACTAAAATGATTCTATAACAAACTTTAATTATGTTTTTTTCGATATAAGACAAACAGTGTCTTTTATTTAAATCAAACATACAAAAAAACTTTTTAAACGACAGCCAAGTACTGATATTAAATTCATACTTGTAAAGATTCGTTCTTCACGATACTGATTTCTGAAAAAAAAAATTCACATAATTGCAAATTAAATGCCGGAATTGATCCTTAATCCCCCATCTATAATTGGTATTTTAAGCCGTAAAAGGATTAATTTTGTGATCATAGATAACTACAATATTTTGTTGAGTTTCATCTTGGACAATTGTCGTTGTTTTAAATAGCTTTACTAACCAATAAACAAAATATGTACTTTGAAATGCAAGAAGTATGCTGAGTATGCTTAAGTTTAATAACTGTTGTTAAAACGTAAATTGTTTGCAAATTACAGTAAACTTCACTTATAGCGAACACGGTTATAGCTAACTTCCGGTTATAAGGAACAATTTATTTTGGCCCGAATTTTGCCCTTCTTTATTTAATACAAAAATATACGGTTACAGCGAATACGGTTATAACGAATTATCGCTTATAAGGAACTCATTTGTAAGTCCCAATTTAGTTAAAAGTACAGAAAATTACACTTTTATAACGAACACTAAAATACCGGCTGTCCGTAAATAGATTCCGCATTAGTACGTAATAGTTTTCTATTTAGGATACTTTTAGCATGAGTTCTTGTCACCAAGATAAAACAGTTATTCCTTTTATTGTAATATTTTTTTTCTTTAATAATTTTGCTCGAGTAAATAATTATGATCATTTATAATCGGTTTTATACAGAATCACGCATGCTTGTAGGCATAATCCATTGAAAAGTACAAAGTTTGCTTGATTGAATTGAAAATAAATCTATATTTTCATTAAAATATAATAGAAGAGCTTCAATATAAAAGGAAAGAACAATCGAAGAACTTGTTTATTCTTCATCATGGAAAGAAAACAAAAAGCACTGAGTTTAGAAAGAAAATATGATATTTTATGAGAAATTGAGAAAGGGAGTAAAACTAAAACTGAAATAGCAAAGGATTTTCATAAAAAATTCCAAAAAAGTACAATCTCGGGTATTGTGTCATAAATAGAAATAAATGACTAATTTTTCTTAATCAAATGCTCTTCAAAATGACGGAAGATAGTAAACAATCAGTTCGTTATATGTAAATCTGTTCGCTATAAAAACTCCTGATACAAGGAACTAATTCGCTATATGCTTACAAGGAACTCCGGATATAAGGAACATATTTTGAATGTCCCGATGAGTTCGTTATAAGCGGAGTTTACTGTACTTCTAAAACATGTTAACATACATTGAACTATTTTATTGGCTGAAAGTGCAGGTTATTTATTAATTTAAGATCTTTTATTCTAATGAAATTTTGGTTTACTACTGCATTATTATTTATTTTAGTAACATATTTACCGTATCTTTTACAAACATTACAGTTGGTTTTAGTAAAATGATGACATAATCTTATATTTCTAGTCAAAGGGAAATAATAAAAACACACTTGGCAATCATGAATTTCACCAGATTAAAGGTTTCTTGTTTTATTGTATATTTGGAGGAATAAAATGATTATATTCGATAATGACTTTTTAACGGAGAAATGTACAGGTAAATACGGAGACATTTTCGTGGAAATTATTAGAATTGTGTCAAAGTTATGTTGAAAGATATATCATATAACTTTATAAATGTTACGAAAAGGTATTTGCGAGTTTTTAGGGTGGACGGTCACTTGCACTTTCTAGTACCGTCTATGAACAGGCTCAATCAAACCCAACATTTTCAATTTTGTTGTGTTGTACTTCCTTTGGGGATTCTTTTTTCTCGATCTTTTTAAAAATATATATCGACTAACATAAATATTGTTAATGATCTTTGTTATTACGGATATTTGTTATTTATTTAGTGTTTTAATTTTTTATATTTGATTTGTTTGATTGTTTTTGTTTTGTTTGTTTATGAACATAGGTCTAAGCAACAGAAATAAGATAAATCTTTAAAGACATTTTCTACAGCTTTAGAAAAATTTAATCCTTTCATAGAATTTTCTAACATTTTTGTATGATAAGTAAAATTTAACGGTGAATTCAAAAAAAGAAAGAAAAACATATGTTGAAGCGTTGGATTTTTTTTTGTAAAATGGCAGTTGTCATGGTAACCGTATATTTCAAAACTGTCAAAATAGCCATACTGTGTATTAAAATATAAAACATGTATATGACAGCTTAATACACTCAACAAGCACAATTTTATACAAAGATGCCTTTATCTAATGTTTTATATGGACCAAATGATAATCTGAATATATTTCTTTAAAGACAAATAAACATCAATTCTGTAAATTATTAAAAGTACCGAAAAATATCTTCCATAGAATTTTCAAGATTTTTTGTATGATAAGTAAAATTTAATAATGAATTCGAAAATAAAAAGAAAAAATATGTTGACGTGTTGGAATTTTTGTTAAATGACAGTTTCGATTGTAACCGTACATATATAAAAAAAAATGTCAAAATATCCGCACTGTTAAGGGACACAAATCCTGTCGGTGAACCTTTTGTATATTTTTCATTAATGTTTGTTTGTTTGGGTTTTACGTCACATCGACACAGTGTAGGTCATATAGCTTTACTGGTGGCGGAAGACCTCAGGTGCCCCTCCGTGCATTATTTCAGGCACGAACGGGCAACTGAGTAGAACCACCGACGTGGATAGCTTCCTCACATAAAAGAATCCAAGTTCCTGTCGGGATTCGAACCCACAGAGGTGAGGGGCAAGTTGTTTGAAGTCAACGACCTTAACCACTCGGCCACGGACGCCCCCTTACATTAACGTATTTATGTATAATTGTGTATTATTGTGAAATTTTATGATTTTTTTACTATGTATATATAATATTATATATTTGATAAAACTTATGATCTGGCTATATTTCAACTGAATCATTTTATCATTATCAAACGCAATAACCTACTCACTTGTTAAATGTTAATTGTAAATGTACGGAATGACATATTTTATTATCTCATTCCGTTACTGATTAGGAAACGGCTCTTATCAAAGACGCATTAAAATTGAATGACATTGTAGCACAAATTACGAAGCGATGCAGATCTCTTTTGGTAAATAAATGATATTTATAAATATAATGTTTAACAATTATGAAGTTGTATAATTTCCGTATTTTTGATACTGTCTAATATACTTTTATTAGCCATTTTACTGTAACATTTAATTTTCTTTTTTAGTAATCTGCATCATTCTTGTTGCTGTTATTTCGACATCTGGTAAGTTTGATTGTACCTTTCAATATTTTTTGCAAAAATATATAATATGATATACATGTATTACAATTTATTATGCTAGATTTGAAGATGTGATCAGTTAATTCTTTACTTTCTTGCTTTACAATTATTGAATATTCATTAACGTTACTGTTGAAATGATACTTTAGGTATATACATCACAAGAAAGGATATAAATGGAAGGTCAAGCTGCCAATGACTAACAGATATTCAAAACAATACAAAACTAAGAAAAGATGTTTTGTCGATTCAAATTTCTAATGTGATTTATATTTCTGGAATAATTGTGCCAATATTGACTATATGTTTTATACTTGTATGATGGTTGTGGTCGATTTCTTATGCAACTATACACTTATTTCGATTTAGCGGCAATCGAGTGTTTTGCCTGTAGCAGTGTCCAAACTGTTGCTGAATGTAAGACTACGAAAACGTGCAATGCTGATGAGGTATATTTTTGCAAATTCAAATGCTCTGTTATCAATCTGATTAAAACCGGCTCCTAAGTAACACTACACATTAGGATCTGACGATCACCAATAGGTTGCAACCTTCTCGTGATTTTTCAAACAGCCAATCATCGGCGAGCTTTCACAATTTTGAAAGCGATTCGTTTTTTCAATTTTAACCGCTGGAAAACCAATACTGAGTAGGTAGTTTTCACGATTTCAAAAGAAGCAACACGACATTTTCCATATACTATGCAGGTAAACTGGCAAAACAATCTTGCCCATAAAAACTTTGGTCTATTATGTTTTTAATAACTTCAAGCATTTTTTCTTCTAACAAAAATCAACAAATTGTTTTACTTCCACGGACAACGATATTTTTATACTTCTTTTAATGTCTATCTTAACAAACCGGTTTGATTGCATGGCTTAAAGAAATCCGAATCATAATGAAGGCGAAACATATGCGGTGGTAATCAGATCTACATGTTAAAATACATAAATCTGAACTTTAGTCCTAATGCTCTATTATATAAATGTTGTAAATATGATTATTGAAATGCCTTATCGTTTTATACAGCAAAAAAACATAATAGATTCTAGTGATATTGTTCTACGAACATATACTAGCTTATTAACAGTAATGTCTGAATTATACTAAATTTCATTGCTATTTACCCCTTGATATATTTCAGATATGTTATACTGACTTCCTACTACAAGGAAACGCGACACTGTATTCATTCGGATGTCGATCTGAGACAGTAAATGAAGTTCTCTTTCACTCGTTTATCAAATGTGCTTCAGACTTATATAAGTATATAATATTCTGTACTAGATATCAAATGGTGCTGAGGGTTCATTTATTTCTTGTGTCAAAGTATGTGATATGTCAAATTAATTCATGTAGTGAAATTTCAGTATTGATTTTAATGTATATTTCAGAACTGTTCATCAGTTGTTTCATATTCAGGAAATATGACTAATGGAGCGTTATTGGTAGGACGCTCTTTGCCTACGTCATCATGTTCCGAGTGCTGCAAAGAGCATCACTGTAATAGACATATGTGCCAAGAAACATGTGAGTTACCGTTTTCCCAATAATACTTGAAAAGAATCATTTTATATGTAATACTTTCTTGATCCTCTTTCTCATCACGAGTAAAATGAGGCTACAATTCGTTGTCAATTTTGCCTGTTTTGTTGTTTGTTTTAATAGGTGTTTCGTCGCACTAAAACAGTATAAGTCATATGGCGAGTTTCCAGCTTTACTGGTAGATGAATACCTTAAGTGCTCCAATGTGCGTTATTTCAGGCAAAAACGGGCACCTGAGAAGAGCCAAAGACGTTCCGCAAGCTATCAAAGTAAAGAATTCTTATACTCTTGCGCGGCTCGAACCGAGAGCGATGAGAGGCATAAACGACGTAAGACCAAAATCAATTAAGTATTTCGCAGAAATGTGTTCAAACATAATATATCACAAAATGTGTATCATTTCAAAGTTTTATAACGATATGTCAAGGGGGAAATTTAAATGTAACGAGATATCAAATTGATATGACATTATAAGGTTATAATAATATATTATTGTTGTTCGATTGTAATTTCAAGATTCGCTTAAAGAGTGTTCAGATAGAGAAAACGTAGGCTGTGCAACCCTTGAACAATATGCAGATATATGTGCAGATACACACAGAGCTTTGTCAGTTTGTCGGCGATTCTGCGGATTATGTAGATACGGTATGATTTGTTTCAACAAATTAATGTTTCTAACGATCCACGAATGAAACACGACAATTTCAATATAAATCTATTGATATGTTTTTATTATTCGTATGTTTCCTTTTCCATAAAATAAAAGGTCGAATTTTTATGTACTGTAACACTACAACTTTATTGTTTTAAAAAACTATACAATTAGAAAACGAACAATATTGTCGGAAGATACGCTAGATTCGATGCGTTCGATTGAAATAAATGATATTTCTATAACCCTACTGAGTCATTATTTTGACAGTGGATGGTCAGTGGGCCTCATGGCTAGCCTGGTCCAGCTGTGACGTAACCTGTGGAGACGGGAATCAGTCGCGTAAAAGAACGTGTACAGAGCCAGTCCCTGCAGGAAGGGGTCATAATTGTCAAGGACACTCTGACGAAACTCAGAGGTGCACTCTTCAGCCATGTCCCGGTAATATAAGTTACAAGATGCCAATATTTCTTAAAGTTATCTTACAACGGCTCTAAACTGTTAAACTATTTATATATGATACAGTAATTATAGGAACTTTTATCTTTTTTAGTATTCATAAAATCATTTACATGCATACACACACATATTTGACAAAATAATAACTCTAAAACATCTTAACCCGTTACGTTATATACACGCCTTTTAACGCCTTTTTCACCCCCCCCCCCCCTTTGTTGTCTCAAATGGTGAAAAAATGCCTTATTTAGGCCCCAACACTTGTTTTTGTTTGAGAAATGTTGTTAAAAAAAGTGACCTCTTTTTCGGCGCGGCCCCCAACCAAAAGATACATCAGGGGGTTGCCAGAAGGGGGATGTGCCTTCTCTTGTTTGAGGGTTTGAAGGGGGGCGGAGTCCCCCTCATCGCCAAGAAAATTTTGGACTTGCAAGAGGCTATAAATGACCCCAAATTGATCATAAGGTAACGGGTAAGCAACGCTGAAAAGCATTTGACTCTATCTCAATCCATTGAGAAGTTGCAGCACTTTGAAATCAATTTTGATGGAAAAAATCAACGCAAAATAGTGATTTTTGGCAATTTTGAGATGTCCCCTCATTGCCATGGTAACAGAAAATTTGAGCCTGAGCATGTTGTTGCAAGGGCAAGGGTCCAGTCAACATTTGTGCCAAGTTTGATTAGTGTTGAAGCAGTTTTTATAGTATTATAGCAATTTGAACTTGTAACGGGAGACTTTTCAATGAAAACAGCCATTTTTCACAAAATGCTCATGAAGTAATGGGTTAATGAAAAAAATAAAAAAATCTACAAAACAACAATTTTTCTTCAAATTTATGTGACAGGCCATGTTTAAACATGGAAAAACGCGATCTAGGGTAATTTCAAGTGTTTTCATCTTTTTCTATTAATGAAAAAAATCAAAAAAATCTACAAAACAACAATTTTTCTTCAAATTTATATGACAGGCCATGTTTAAACATGGAAAAACGCGATTTAGGGTATTTTCATGTATTTTCTGTTAACCCATTACGTTATATACTCGCCTTTTAACGCCTTTTTCACCCCCCCCCCCCCTTTTTGTTGTCTCAAATGGTGAAAAAATGCCTTATTTAGGTCCCCAACACTTGTTTTTGTTTGAGAAATGTTGTTAAAAAAAGTGACCTCTTTTTCGGCGCGGCCCCCCAACCAAAAGATACATCAGGGGGTTGCCAGAAGGGGAATGTGCCCCCTTCTGTTTGGGGGGTTTGAAGGGGGCGGAGTCCCCCTCATCGCCAAGAAAATTTTGGACTTGCAAGAGGCTATAAATGACCCCAGATTGATCATAAGGTAACGTGTAAGCAACGCTGAAAAGCATTTGACTCTATCTCAATCCATTTAGAAGTTGCAGCACTTTGAAATCAATTTTGATGGAAAAAATCAACGCAAAATAGTGATTTTTGGCAATTTTGAGATGTCCCCTCATTGCCATGGTAACAGAAAATTTGAGCCTGAGCATGTTGTTGCAAGGGCAAGGGTCCAGTCAACATTTGTGCCAAGTTTGATTAGTGTGAAGCAGTTTTTATAGTATTATAGCAATTTGAACTTGTAACGGGAGACTTTTCAATGAAAACAGCCATTTTTCACAAAATGCTCATGAAGTAATGGGTTAATGAAAAAAATCAAAAAAATCTACAAAACAACAATTTTTCTTCAAATTTATATGACAGGCCATGTTTAAACATGGAAAAACGCGATTAACGGTAATTTCAAGTATTTTCATCATTTTCTGTTAACCCATTACGTGATATACTCGCCTTTTAACGCCTTTTTCGACTCCCCCCCCCCCTTTTTGTTGTCTCAAATGGTGAAAAAAATGCCTTATTTAGGTCCCCAACACTTGTTTTTGTTTGAGAAATGTTGTTAAAAAAAGTGACCTCTTTTTCGGCGCGGCCCTCAACCAAAAGATACATCAGGGGGTTGCCAGAAGGGGGATGTGCCCCCTTCTGTTTAGGAGGTTTGAAGGGGGCAGAGTCCCCCTTATCGCCAAGACAATTTTGGACTTGTGAGAGGCTATAAATGACCCCAGATCGATCATAAGGTAACGTGTAAACAACGCTGAAAAGCATTTGACTCTATCTCAATCCATTGAGAAGTTGCAGCACTTTGAAATCAATTTTGATGGAAAAAATCAACGCAAAATAGTGATTTTTGGCATTTTGAGATGTCCCTTCGTTGCCATGGTAACAGAAAATGTTAGGGAATATTTAATGCAATTTCGAAACAGCGTTACAGCTGCAGAAACACGCTAAATAGCATACTTCATATTTTAGTTCATGGTCACTGGTCAACATGGAGTGACTGGGGAAGCTGCAGTACAACATGCGGTATTGGAATGCAACGTAGAGACCGAACATGTTCAAATCCCTATCCTGCACGTTTTGGAGACCATTGTTATGGTGATTCAAGAGATGATAGATTATGTGTAGATGCAGTTTGTCCTGGTAATATGATACATGTATTTCATTAGCTAGTGAAACAAAAAAGGTGTACTAATATTCAAAAATAACAAACTGTCACCCCCTCCAAGCCATATTATTTAACAAGATGTATAAAAATACTAGTCGAAGAAGTTCCGGATCTTGATTGATGGATGGCGATTTAACAATTAGCTGCATTAGCTTGTCAGACTTATGCAGAGGGCAAATCGCCTAAATGTAAAAAAAAAAACACTGTAGATCTATTTTCTATTTAGAGGCTCACCAGGCAATATAGTAAGTTTAATATACAAAATAAGACATACTACTGTACCTTTGTTACATAGTTACTGACGGTGCTTGGAGCAAGTGGACCTCATGGTCAACATGTACAGCAAGTTGTGGGGGAGGGGTAAAGTCTCACTATAGGGATTGTAACAATCCTATGCCATCTGCAGGAGGAAGACTTTGTACTGGGCTTCAACAAGAAATGACTGCATGCAATCAGCAAAATTGCCCCCGTAAGTTCCATTGGTTTTAATCTTTTAAATGTGTAGTAGTTATATGTCTTAGAGAATGTATTATTAAGATAATAAAACAACGATTTCCTATACACATTATTTTCTTCAAAAATTGGCATCATTTAAAGATGAACAGTAATTCTTGAAACAAAATAGTTCTGTTTTTCTTGAGAATTGTGTATAATGATATACGTACAGCAATGATTATAACAAAATATATTTTCAGGAAAGCTTTCGTCATTTTCGTACTCTCATCCAGTAAGTGTTGGGCATTTGCAATACGGGGGTAAAAAAGGGTCAATGGTGTGTTATGAGTTCACTGTAATTGGTTCATCAATACATTTACCTACATGTTCTACCATTGCATTTACCAGTAAAATATTTGAAGAAGGGTCTTCCTACAACAGTACGACTGGCGACTTTACGTGCTCTTATCCAGGTGTTTATGTTTTTACGGCTTCGGTAATCAGTTCTGCTGGATCTACAATTGATTGTGATATATCAAAGAACGATCACACCATTGCAAGAATTATCAAGAATCAGTCAGAGACTATAGTGTTTGGATTTGCAACGATAACATTACAACTCCAGCTTCGTGATAAGATTTCCTTGTTTTGTCAGCATTTGTCTGACCATTTAGAGCCATCTTCAACTTAAAAACATAAGATTAAAATGACTTCCAATCTAGCTCCTTATGAATTTCTAAAAGTGGCATACAAATGACGAAAAATGAACGAAAGTCTCAAAATTTTCATATCGGCTATCTAACGTCGCTAGCATAGCATGTTCATAACCAAGTCTACACAATTTCCATGTAATTTTGGTGTTTTTAAGTTGCAAGCCTCCAGAGGAGCCAAAATATTTCAAGAAAATCAATATTGAGAAAAATGTACTAAAATTTTGAAAAAGTAAAAACAGTCAAGATCTAAGTTATACATGTATTTAACATGTTATGTGCGGTTTAAGACTGATTTTGCAGTATTTATCTCGATTTTTATTATGTGTAACGAACGCAGTAAGGGCTCTTTTTGCATATGTTGACCACTTTTTGGTAATTTTCTTGGATTGTAAGTGCCGATTGCAGTATTTAAATTACTATTTTTGTTCACCTCACAAATATTTTACTTTCAAATACATTCTAAAACTTTCATAAAAATTAACATAAATCTGAAGGCGTGCTGCTTTAATCCTTCCGATGGATCACTTTTTGCTTATGATGTAATATGTGGACAAATCGGTTTCTTTAATTCAAAAGAAAATTTTAGTCTATCATTGTTAAAGTTTATAAACATGTGTTTATTTACTCTCTAGATGCTGCAGATTTTACAGATCAATATCAACTTGTTACCGTCCATTTTTTGTTTTGTTCGTTTTTTCGGCGGATCAACACACCTAATGTCATTTGGCACGGCAACATGAAATTAAATATTTTGCCTAACCTTGGGTGTTGTAAATTTAAAGAAACACCTGCCGAAGCTAAGAGATGCCTATACTAGTTTGAACCCATTAAGTCGCCTCTTTCGATAGGCAGGGAAAACCAGTGGCTTTCATTCTGATGCCTCTACCCTAAAATGCAACCCCCTCAGTCATAAGCGGAGGTCACTGTCCAATATAAAATAATTCAATAGTTAAATGATATAAATGAGTGTAAATTGTCTGCTTTGAACATAGTACATATTTTAATAACACACTATGGATGCACCCATCAAAAATCCCGTTCATTTGTTTTAATGTTTCAGTTCTTGTACCAATACAACAGAGAAAAACAGAATCCCTGTCGGCAAAATTAAAAATGATGCAAGCTCGATTTCAACCTGTTCATGGACCGTAGAGGTAATTGCAAGCTACCGACCATGCCCCTAACATAGGCGTAAGCAGATTGAATTATCGACATGCGCAGATGTTATCAATGAACCTTTGATATGACATGAGTGCTATTCCATAAAAAGCGGCATATGGTCTCCAAGTAAACAAGTACGTACAAAATAATGGGCAAAACTAAATAAAATGGAAGGTTCAGTGATCATAAAATAGAGTGAAATAAGAATCTCTAAAGAAAGCTCAAAGCGGCAAAATTAAAAATATTGCAGGCTCAGTTTGATTGAGCCTGTTCATGGACGGTCTTGTCAAGTGCAAACTACCGTCCACACCCCCTAGCACCGGCTTTAGCAGAATTCAACATTTAACATGAACTCGTAAAATTTAGAATTTTGAAACATCCGCAGAATGAAGCCTGCATATCACAGATAATAAGTCAGAAGACAAAATTAAGTAGAAATAGTTTAAAATGGACAGACAGACGGACTGAATGACACACTTAGGGTTAAACTTTAAACATCCCTAGTTGTTACAAACATACACAATTTTACAAGCAAATTTGTTAAACGAAAGGGGAATTAACTCTTGAAATAAAGATGACAGTACATTTTCATACATAACGTGTTATTGTAACAAAGAACACTTTTCTTAAGTTTAAAGAAGACACCATTTAGGGACAAAGAAGAAAAGTGAAAAATAACAATTTACAAATATATACCATTTATAGTAACAAAGAAGAGAACTTAAAAAAAGATTATACAATTTTATAATAAAATTGAATTTTAAAATGAAAAATAATCATGGAAACCAAGGAACTAGACTTATCTTTCTAATCACAAATGATTTGTTTGATGATCACAAAAGTATATTTCAAGTTTGAAGTAAATACCTTATAAACAAAGAAGTTATAATGAAAAAGATTTAACTGCGTAAAAACTTGAATAAAAAATCTTGACATAGTAGCCGATGCTGGGTGAGTAGAACAGCTCTAAATGTACTCCCTACAGTCAATCTTTAAATAATGTGCATAATATCCATACTGCCATCTATCAATTATTCATAGAAATATTGTCAGGACTTTTCAGGAGTTATCACAAATATTGTTAAATATATCATATTTTAAGCATATTGGTTGTCAAAGCAACCAAATTGTTCGGCATATGAAGGAAAGAAAGACGTTCATAATATCCAGGTCATCTATCAATATTTCAAGTTTAATAAAAATATTTTCAGTGCGCTTTGTCTTGTAACTGGATCCAAATTATGCGTTGACTTCGCCATATTCTCAGTCTACTTGTTGCCATAGCAACCAAGTTTACAACATGGAAGAAAGGGAAAGAGATGTGCATAATTTCCAGACTGCCATCTATCTATATCTCAAATTTCATAAAGATATTTTAAGTACGTTTTGCGTTATCATGGGATCCAGTTTTGTTGACGGACAAACAGACAGACAGATGGCTGGAGGGAGGGAGGGTAAACTCAAAGATCCCTCAGGGTACCGATAGGAGACTAATAGCATGTTTCCTTTTTATGATTATAAATCAAATCTGTAAATGAATAAATTAATGACTAATTTCAATCATTTGACCATAAAGGTCTAGATAATATATGGAGTAAATCAACATGATATATAAGTCATATTTTGTTCTTTTTCCACGTATTAAAAAAAATCGTATAACTTAACGTTAACAATTAATTCAATAACTTAAAGTGTATAAATCTATATCCTAAGAAATATTTTTTATAAATGTATTAACAGACAAATTATATTGGTTCCATTATAATTGGACTGATTCCCTAAAACGTTGTAGAATGTCTCTGTTACATAATTTATTAACGCATATGAATATTGTACGTAGACAGAATAAAACGTTACGGAACAAAATATTATTTTGCTATTTTAAGTAGGGTTTTTATCCGTTTAACAATGACTGTGTGCATGTACCACACGCTTTAAGGCAATTTATTGCCATATTGATTTCATACATACCTTTTGGAAGTATTCTCTTTTATTAATCAAACAATAATTTTTGTATCAGATATATAGCTTTATACACTTTAAACTTAGTCCTCAAGATTTGAAGTTGAAATATCAATTGGTATTGTACTAAAATGGTCCGTTGAACCTTTGTAAAGAATGTCATGAATCAATATCAGAATCCTTAGGTCATCTCATGGATCAGATTTTAGTTTCTTAAGTTTTCTAGCTGTTCTGCTACGTTTTGTACACAAGACTAGAAAGTTGATACAACCACTTAGTACAAAACAACCGCCAGCTGCCAAGAAACTTGATGTATAACTTCCGGTAGCGTCAAACAACCAACCTATAATACAAAAATAACTTCTGCGTCATACATGTATAGTTTTCTGTAAACAAAATACAAAAATAATATCAGGTAGCATTTTACAATCACACACAAAAATAAATATACATAACAAAACTTCTATGAACGACATATTTGCAATATACAAAATGTACATTTCATAAATTCATAAAACAGCCATAGTTTCCTGTACGTGTTTCAAAATACTTATTTTTCTGTAAGTCTCTCAAAGTAGTTCCCCTTTGTAGAAAATACCTGTATACAAAGTTTATCCGTATTCGGAAAACGTCACAAAGATCCTGAAACGGATGTATGTTGCGTATATTGATAAGAAAATAATGATGACCTACCAGCATTTCTTTAAACTTTGGAAACAATCAAAAGTCACACGGAGCAAGGTTAGATCTATAAAGTGGAAGCAACTTGACATTAAGATTGATTTCCTGCAAGATGTGTGCTTACGAGCGCGCGTATTGGCGTGGAGTAGGTAAAGGTCACGTGTGTCTGTCCGTGGTACTTAAGTACTAACTAAAGAACTGAACCATGCATATATAAAAAAACTAATAGAATTCTTCCAGTGTATATCTGGAATCAGTATCAATCAATTCCTCCATCAGTTTTTTCCGATGAAGCTAAGATTGGACGACCTCGTCTTTCATAAACTTCAACTGACTCGCGCACTTATTTAAATCAACGGACCCATTTTGCAACAGCACCATATTATAATACATTGTCTTCATAAACTATTTGTAAACCTGCATGGATATTGGTTTCAGAATAGCACAGTATACCATTTGCTCTAACAAAAACATCCGCCATGTTTTAGCATGCTAAAATATGCATTAGCACAAGTTCAACTGATGCGTATCAAGTACGAGAAAATCGTATGCATCAGGCGACACAGTAACAGTTCTTATGTATAGGTACACCACAACATTTGAAGTGTTACCTGTGAATATAATGGCTTTAAGCTGTTTACGAATTTATGATATAGCCCACGTACATTCCCCCCCGGAAGCTCGAGTTACATATGTAAGATTTTAACTGTTTATAATTGGTCATAGAAACTGCCAACAAAACTCCTTGTAACTAAACATAATACTGAAGAATAACTTTCATTGATTGAAATCAATATACTAGCTTATAATTGTTGAAACCAAACATGTTAAAACCAAATAGCACATTAAAACATTACAGTCAATCAAATGAAAACAACGTTCACATGCGCAATTTATGCATTAGTGGTAGGCCACAGAGCACATTTAACAGTTACACATTTGGATTCTGTAGTATGCCCGTGCCTATTTCAATTTCAGAGAGAGGTTGTTTATTTATTTATTTATTTATGATTTATTTTAATTTTGTTGATTTTTGTTTTTCTTCATCAAACCTGAATACAATATTTTTGTGACTTTACCTTTTTACTCATAAAGTACGTATTTAACAGTTAACTGGTTTAAAGATATCCTATGTTTTCATATTTGAGTAAATAACTTAAAAATTTATAATGCAGAAATTAAGTGGAATCAAGGAAACTCTTACTGAATAGGTGTTAATTTGAATAAGAAACTGCACAAATTCTATTTGGGAGGCTGCATTTCTAATTACATGTCAAGTTAATTTGGTCCTTACTTAGAACAAATACCAGTTTTAATGACACTATGTCTTCATTCTGTGTTTCCCTACGGTGTGGAATTTTTTAAATGTATCAAAATTTTCAAATACCAAATTTTACTAAACAATATTTTGAACAGTATATCTGGTATGTCTTCGTGTACTTGATGATTTATATCTTCAAATGAAGTGTTCATTGTAATTAGTTCAAATGTATCTGTTGAAGGACGATTGTGATACAAGGTATTGCAGTCACTTTCGAGTCCGCTTCCTGAAACAAACAAGTATTGGTGTTTATTAAGGATGTATGTCGTGACAAGAGCAACGCCTTATCCCCTTAACGCTGGGTAGACAGGCAGAACGTTTACCACGAGATTAACCCCACCCCTCTTGTTGTATGTAATAAAACACACTTACCAGCGGCGGGACTTCCAATTAATCCTGAAATACCGTACACCCACATGGTCAACCCTTGCATTGTCGCCATATACTTTTCATCTATATACTCCAATAATACAATTGGCTGAACCGTGTACATAGCTCCTGGTGAAAATATAAAATTTCCTACAGAGAGAAATATTATTTCCAGCAGCATAAAATAATAATAGTCCTACACATATGTAAATAAACTATTGAAATTCTTAAATGCTTGCATACAAAAAAAAATAATCAAACGCTGTGTAAATTACGCACCTGAAAGCATTCCATAAAGAACAGAATATGTTCTGAGCGTCCAAAACATTGGGATAACAGCAACAGTCATTGTAGTTACACCGAGTGATAAAAGACAACCACCTAAAAGACTCAGTTTATGAACACATTTCATATCAGCTACGCATCCGGCACCAGTTTGGGTTATTAATCCTGTGAATATGTGGATAAAACGAATTTAGTATTAAAGGGGAAATTAAACCTATAATTGTAAGTTTATTTTGAAGTTTGCATTTATATTTTAAGTTGACGTACTCAAAACCTAATGTTACTAGGCAACGGTTCAAATTAAGTCAAGACATTTGACTCATAGACAGAAAGCTTACAGAAAAATGAATCAATAAAGATATCTAGAAATCTATTTTGTTTTTATGTAAGTTTTTGTGAAGTTTTATCTCTACTGATTCTTGTAGCAAATGTAAGTTATGTTTCATCCGCTTTTGTGTATAATTAATTAATTTTCTGACACAAAATATTGATACACAAACCAAACCCACACGTTCATTTGTTATTTACATAACTCACACAAAGAAGACAGAACCTGATAACCAACTACAATACACATGTATTACATGAATGAAAATTTACTTTGTTCATTGAGACGGCCGCACTTTGAAAATGTCTGTGTCATATAAACTGTCTTGTAAAAAGGTTCATTTAACTATTTATTTATTTATCTACATACATGTATATACTGTACATTTCGTTTATTAGGACAAACCACGACAGCATTATGAAAAAAGTGTGTGTTTTCAAGCTCCTTTGCGTTGTTTGTCAATAATTTGTACTATCTTATTTTCGTCCAACGTAATAACCAAAGTTCTTGGTACAACAAATGGTTTAATTTTTAAAGTTACCTACCTCCTACACCAACTGCCGACAACATCCAGGTACTTTGTGCTGAACTACAGTTTACATTTAATGCAAAGTCTGGTAACATACTGAATGGTACAAACTCTGGCAAAGCTATAAACACGATAGATAGCATAAGAATAATAAAATTACTATTTGTCACTAGCCTTTTTGGACAAAACTTTTCTATGAAAGCATTTCTAAACCCGTCTTGTTCGCTATTATCACCTTGCGGGGTCTTTAGATTAAGTTCTTTTGATTCTTCATTATCTTTAAACGTGTCGGTTTCATATCTTAATGGTCCTATCGTAACTTCTTTTGAAATATCCTGACCATAATCCTGAGCATTAGACAAATGTTGAGATTGTGACGACTCTAAATGTGTGATAACAGTGTCCGTATTTAGTTCAGATGTTTTCATGACAGCCAAGGAAATAGTTTGTTTTTCTTTATTACCGGCTTTATCATGCTCGTCCATTGTATTTGATATTTCTCTTATCACTGATTTCGTGTCATCTTTACCATTCTCTTTATTTGACGCAGATTTTTGTTCAATTTCTTCTACAACTTCGAGTCCTGATTCATCGTCTATAAATGGTCTTAAAAACGATGAAAACACAAATCCATTTAAAGTTACACCAGCTAATACAAACACAGACCCTCGCCATCCAAATGTATCAATTATCAGTCTTGCAAAAGGAATGAATGCAAATGTTCCTACACCTCCCCCGGAGAAACTAATCCCTACAGCAAATGTCCTCCTTTTTCTGAAATATTTCCCGGTAGCAACAAATCCGGACAGGAAAACCATTCCAAATCCAATATCTTGAAATTGATGATAATGTATAAAAATAATGCATTATCTCGGACAATCAAGCTAGCGTAAAATAAGTATATTTAAATTATATACTATATGTTCTTGATAAAATGCATATGAATTTTATTTTTAGCCATTTACAAGACAAACTGTACTTGTTAAATGTCCACTTTTAGGTAAAAGTCTAAAAGGGCATAAAATTTGACATTCTTTAAAGAAGTCAGATCAACGAAAGCAATAAAAGTGAAAAAATCTTCAAATGGTAATTAAAACTAAATTCTATTAATGAATATAAAGTTTTTATAGTTCTTTATGCCCGCTTTGACACATTTTGAGGGCCAATTTGCCAAAAAGAATTATTTTGAAGGGAAAATGGGATAAGGGTAAAGGGATTTAAGGATAATGATTTGAAAATTTCTACGGCATGTGCTGTAAGTCAACTGTAATGTATAAAAAAAATTGATTACGTTAATAGCCTATTTAAATGCACTTAAATTGAATCCGTGGCTAAATGTGTTGTTGGTTAAAGATTAATTGCATGAGTTTGAGGAAACCAATTTTCTCGCTTCATCTCGTTCGCTCGAAAATTAATTTCTTAAAACTATATATTTAACATATAACCTATACATACAATAAAATATGTTTAAACAAACGATCCGTATTCAACTGACACATTTTATCATAATCAACGCAATAACCTACTAATTTCAAATGTTAATTGTAAATGACCGGAATGACATATTTTATGATCTTAATTTGTTACTGATTAGGAAACATTTTACATTAAACGGCTCTTATCAAAGACGCATTAAAATTGAATGACATTGTACAAGAAATAACGAAGCGATGCAGATCTCTTTTGGTAAATAGAATTAATAATATTTAAAAATATTATGTTAAAAATTATGAAGTTGTCTTATTTACGTATTTTACATACTGTCTAATATACTTTTATTAGCTATTTAAACTGTAACATTTAATTTTCTTTTTCAGTAATCTGCATCATTCTTGTTGGTGTTATTTCGACATCTTGTAAGTTTAATTGTACCTGTCAATAGCTTTGGCACAAATATATAATATGATATATTACGCTAGATTTGAAGATTCTTAACTATATTGCTTTACAATAATTCAATATTCATTGACGTTACTTTTAAAAATGATACTTTTGGTGTATACATCAAAAGAATTGTTATAAATTAACGTTAAGGCTGCACAGAACTAACAGAAATTCAAAACAATACAAAACCAAGAAAAGATATTTTGTCAGTACAAATCTGTAATATATTTAAACTTATGTGAGGGTTGTGGTCGATTTCTTATGGAATTATACATTTATTTCCATTTAGCGGCAACTGAGTGTTTTGCCTGTAGCAGTGTCCAGACAGTTGCTGAATGTAAGACTACAAAAACGTGCAACGCTGATGAGGTAAATTTCTTACAAACAAACAAATTGAAATGCTCTGTTATATCAATGTTGTAAATATGATAACTGAAATGCCATAGCAACAACAAATTGATACTAGTGCTATTGTTCCATGGCCAAATACTTGGTAATCAGAAAGTACTGTCTTAATTACTGTAGCACTTAATTTCTTGCTATTTACCTCTTTATTTTAGATATGCTTTACTGACTTCCGACCACAAGGAAACGGGACACTGTATTCATTTGGATGTCGATCTGAGACAGTAAGTGGACTTTACAATTTTCAAATGTGTACATATTTAAAACTTTCAGACTTTATTTATATGTCCCCTACTGCAATAAATAAAAATGTTCAGACTGATGTTATTTTTAATGATTTAGTAGATTACCTCAGATTTCATAAATAATTTCATGATAATTTTGTATTCTTAATATGAACTGCTAAAGGTTAATAAATTACTTGAATCAAATTACCTGGAAGTTCTGATTAATTCGTGTATTGAAATTTTAGTTTTTCACTTGAATGTATATTTCAGAACTGTACATCAGTTGTTTCAAATACGGAAAAATGACAAAGGACGTCATTTAGGGGTTCTTTTACTGGTCACCATGTTCCCCAGTGCTGCAAGAGCATCATTGAATAGACTATATGCCAACAAAAAGTAGTTTCGTGATCCCCAAAAATGTTGAAAGGGCAAAATTTTAAGGAACACTTTCTTGTCCCTTGTTGCCACGACCCTACATTTTGTTGTCAAATTTTTTTGTTTTTTTTGGGGTTTAGGGCGTACTGGTATAAGTCAAATGGCATTTTCAGCTTTACTGGTTGAGTAAGTGTATCTCTGTGCGTTACTTCAGGCACTAACAGGCACCTGTTTAGAACCAACTACGTTCCGTAAGCTATTTAGATAGCTTTCTCACATGAAATAATCCATAGACTCTTGTGCGGCTCGAACCTACAGCGATGAAAGACAAAAGCTTTTGAAGGCAATGACCTTAATCGCATTGGGCACGGACCTACCCTTGTCAAAAAATGAATCACATTTCACTACATATACGATGTTAGGCTAAATCACTTTGAGTATTTCGCAGAAATGTATTCAAACATAAAATTAATTAAAATATATATCAGTCACTATATTTTACAATATGTCAGGAAAAAATGTAAGCGAGATATCCAACGTCGACATGTCATTTATAGGTTGTAATAATAGATATTGTTCGATTGTAATTTCAAGATTCGCTAAAAGAGTGTTCAGATAGAGAAAACGTAGGCTGTGCCACCCCCTGAGAACAATTTTGCAAATATATGTGCAGATACACAGAGAGCTTTGTCAGTTTGTCGACGATTTTGTGGATTATGTAGCTACGGTATGGTTTGTTTGGTCAAATTAATTTTTCTTAAATTCCACAAATAAAACACGACAATTTCAATATAATATATGTTTTATTATTCGTATGTTTCCTTTTTATATATTGGAAGGTCGAAGATTTATGAACACTAAAACTTGAAGGTTCTATAACAATTCAAGGTTTTTAAAGACTATATATATACAATTAGAAAATGGGCAATATTGTCGGAACATTTGAATTGAAACAACTGATAATTCTGTAACTTTATTAAGTCACTATTTCAGGGCTGAGTCGTATCCTTCAATTTGTAAAGAAACACCGCCATCTTTGGATGAAAAATAAATATTTTGGTGTATAATTCGTTTTGTTGGAAATGACTGAAAACCCGATATATGTATTAACACGCTCAATAATTTTCCGTTTCATTTGGTAAATGTAACTAGCAGAACTGTTTGGTAAAACAAAAGTTATAACAAATTTACAACTCGAAGCGGGCTAGAATTGTTATGAAGTTTTGTGGATACAACGCAACTCATTTTGCTTTATCCATTGGTTTTTCAGTCAAATCTACAGAATAGTCGTTTCAGAGTTTTCCAAATATAATTCTGCATCAACTACAATTTCTGTAAAACACATGTTTATTTTCCAAGATTTTTTTTTGTACGAAATGATAAGATGCAATTGAAAATAAAATATGATACGGCGCAGTTCTGATTCCCAGTCCTGTATTTAAACAGTTGATGGTCAGTGGGCATCATGGCTATCCTGGTCTGGCTGTGACGTAACCTGTGGAGACGGACACCAGTCGCGTAAAAGGGCGTGTACAGAGCCAGTCCCTGCAGGAGGGGGTCAAAATTGTCAAGGAAATTCTGAAGAAACTCAGCGTTGCACACTCCAACCATGTCCAGGTTGAAAAAGTTACAAATTGCTTACATTTGTTGATTTATAATCATGCAAAGACTCTTTACCATTTATATATTAAACAGTAATTAAAGGACTTTTTTCATTATTCATATAATCATTTTTACAATTATACACACATTTTTGACCGAAGATTATAATGCTAAATTATCGTCAATAAGTATTCAACATTATTGATTTAGATAAATGGTACTATTGACTCCTACGTTTTGCAAATGTACTTAAAATGGGGGTTAGAAAACCCAAATTTGGGGGAATTGACAGACATTCGGGCTTAAACGAAGAGAACAACAGCAAACCCCCTTATTGACCGCGCAAAAAATTGGTAAAAATTTTTGGTCACTCTTAAAGGGTCTAGCACACACCCTGGTTATTAAAAAAAATCTCTTTTTTGTCACCCAAAATTATATTTAACGATCGTGTTTTTATAACAATTATAAATGGTTTAGTGCAAACTCTGTAACACAAAAACCGTCGGGAAATGTTACCCCAGTCCCCTTTTTTTGGTCACCCAAACGAATACTTACGATTTTTTTTATATGTGAATTAAAAAGTTTTATAATTCTGCTAAAAGACTAATACAAGTTTGGGTCATATTCAATGAAATATTGAAATTAAGTGACTTTTGACGGCTTCGGATGAATATTAAAGCTAAATATGGTGCTTGAAAAAATATGGATATCTGCAAAGCTTATACCTAAGGTGAAAATTGATCAGGAAGTTTTATATCTTCTTTTTTAAACCGCCAAAACACTCAACCAACTTATGGTAGTTATCGATAGATTCTACATTGTATGTTAAACCTTTCACTAGCTTGAAATATATACTGCGGAAAATCTGTTTTCACAGAATGTGTGGGTTTATTGTAGTTTCCTTGCCCGACCATTTCCCGCTGAATAGATGGAGAACCATCGAAGCGTCAGTGCTATGAATTGGTGTTATAAATAGGGTGTTTTTGAAGTTTTTGTTGAAACTTCTCCAATATCCCTCCAGCAGGCATGCGACCGTCGCGGCAGAAGGCACACGGCAGGTCAAGGTCAAGTCATCTAAAGTACCAGAGGTGATTGGTTGAAGCCTGTCGAAACTTACTCTGGAGGTTTGGCGCTACTGAAATGCCGTTTTTGTTGTCGTCAGTCAGGAAGTTGATGTCTTGACAGTATTGTCGTCTCCTTTTTACCACTAACGAACGAAGAATGGGCTACCAGGAAGATTCTGCTTGAAAAAAAAGACGTCCCCGATGCTATAATCTCGGACATATGGTTATTCCGCGCCGAGTATAAATGAACTTAAACACACA